CTCTGCTTCTTTTGCTGTGCCTCCTTCTGCCGGAACTCTGCCCCATCCTCAGTAACAATTAAGTCGACCTGCTTTAAAACATCGTTCCCGATAACGAGTGCGTACTTGATATCTCGCTCCCTTGCTACATGGAACGTTATCTCCAACTTGATGCTGTCTATTTCAACGAATATGGCAAAGCTACCCATTGTCGTGAGTTCGCTTGTACCAATCCCCACCAGTCGTCGCCGCTCTCTACTTAAATCAACGTCCAACTTAAGCATCATCAGCGTATCGTAGCGCATTAGACATAGGTCGCTACCCGTATCAACCAATGCCGAAATAGTTGTTCCGTGTAAGCTGATATCTTTAAAGATCAACCCGCATCGCTTCTTAGGTTCGACAACTTCTGCTTCATTCGTCATAGTGTTCACGCTGTTCTGTTCCGACTTAAAGGACTTGCCCCTCGACTTACATTCCGCCGCACGGTGACCTTCTTTACCACAATTGAAACACGAGTTCCGTTTGCGTGGACAACTTCTGGCAAAATGCGATGTGTCCCCACAGATAAAACATCCCTTGCTGGTCGAAGCTGAACTCTGGAAGCCCTTGTTTGAAGACGATGGCTTTCCANGCTGAACTCTGGAAGCCCTTGTTTGAGGACGATGGCTTTCCATTGTTCATGTTCCCGGGTGGTGGTTGACTGGAACGAATCTTTTCATATACCTTGATCTGCTCTTTCAAGTCCTGAATGGTTTTCGCCTGGTATAGGTTACTTTTGTTTGACTTAGAGTCCGGTATGCCTTCGATGAAATAATCGATTAAGCTAGAGTCGTCTAAGCAAATCGGTTTACCTAGCTCCATTAACACGTACAAGTATTCACGGAGATCTTCCCCATGGCGCTTCCGACGACTACGCAAAGCACGGTGCACCTCAAGCGATGACAACACAACGCCAAATTCCTGCCGCAGCACGAGCTTTAAAGAACTCTAGCTGTTTATGCCACTTTGGCTGCGTATAAAAATTTTTGCGCCACCTTTCAAAAGTTGCTTCGCGTAAATGAACTTCTGCAGCTCATTCCATTGTACCGCTGCTGCATTCGCTTCAAAGTCCCCCAACCATTGTTCGAAGCGAGGCCGACCTGATCCGCTAAACGAAGTCATGGAATCCTCGACGTCACGGAGAGTGAAATTATGCTTCTCAACTCTAACCTCGCGCACGCTTGGCTGGCTTGCTATTTCGTCAGCATCGGTATCTTCGCCATCACTCATGTTCAGGCCGAAGTGCTCCATTAGTCTGTCTTGTAACGTCGCTTTCCGTCCGCTTGTCGATAGCCCTAACTCCCCCAGTTTCTCTTTTAATCCGTCAACTGTCAAGTTCAAAATTTCGTTTCGGTCCATGGCTTCCAAATTCAATTAATAAAATACAATATTTAAGGTAGCAGTGATAAAATAAAAAATATGTAGTGATATTTAATGATATCGTTAATATTTGCATACAAGGAGCAATTACAATCAATTTAACTTTTCATTAGATACTATACAAAACAGTTTGCATGTAATACTAATGACTACCGCACATTAGCTTCGCAATTGTTTGCTTTTGTTTTCTTTTTCTCAAGTGAAATTGTTACAATTCTGATATGTGGCTCTCAAACTGTCTATTCCAATTAAAATTTATATGAATATGTGGATTACAAACTGTTTGTTTTCTTATTGGAAAATAATAATCCTTTACACATTTTACACATTTAAAATATCATAACAAAAGGTATACAAATTTTATTTGATACAAATGTATTTCTACTCATCTGTTTGAATCATCCCTCGCTGCTTGCTGAACTTTGTTGTTGCTGTTGTCTACGCTCGTTGATGTCCCCCGCCGCCGTCAACTTGGCTACTTGCTGTTCTGCTGCTCTATTGTCTGCGCAGCGCTTCACTGTCGCTGCCGATGTTTACCTGTGCGTTGTCTCTGCTGCGCAACTTCGGCTACCTCGCCGTTCTATGCCCGTTAGTAGGACTGCACTTTTATGTACTTTCGACACTCGCTGTTGTATGCCCGTTAGTAGGCTTTTGTGCGCTCTCGCTTATGTGCCGCCGTTTAAGCTACGCTGACGGTGGTTGCTTGCGCGTTGCCTCTGCTGCGCAGCTTCGTAGAGCTGTAAAACTCGCTGCTGTATGCCCGTTAGTGGGCCTGTACTTTTATGTGCACTTGGCTAAGTACTTTAGAGAGTACCGCAATTTGTACACCAACGATTCGGTGTTCTAGCACAACGACGCACCGGGACCACTCGGAGTAACGGTTATGTCCCGTTATTCCAAAACTTGCAAAATTTTATAATATAATATAATATATATAATAGTATATATAATATTCTTTCAGATATTAATGTTTTAAGCACATGCACACTGCTCTTGCTTTATTTGTTAGAGCAATCAAACGTTCACTTGTGCGCAAATTACTTTGTACACACACCCTCACTGAGTCGCTTTGTTAATAAGTTTGTGGGCTCGATTTCACTTTTGACACCAATTTTTGTGGGATGGCGCGAGGGGTGTGCGTTCCGCTTCAAATAAAAGTCCAGTCTTTAATTAATAAACACAGTGCACAATTTATTTTAACATTCACTTTGCATTAAACTATTACATTTTAGGGTTGAAGCCCGCGGTTTTGGTCGGTGCGTCGTTCTCGGTCGTGTGCTAGCGAAGGAGTGACGCTTTGTACAAAAAATGTCCGTTGTCTAGTTTCGTCTATTTCGTTAAGTTTGTCCGTTCCCTTTATTCCCATTCTTCCTCAAGCAGTGTTGCTCCTGCGGGTCGCTGTCCAGTGTTGCTTAATGGCATTTAGGTCCGTTTGTCTTTGGAGTTGTCCGTCAGTCAAATCCCACATGTATAGAATTGACAACAACAACCACGCTGTCGAGTTTAAATAGCGGCAAATCAGCTGCACTTGATAGTAGTTGGTTGAATAAGGAAAATGAATTAACAACAAACACAATTAACAAAGCCTAATGATGACAGCAGGCGGAGCTGTAATAAATCATAACACACATGATGGAGCTCGTATAGCTCCCCACAAATAGAACTCAGTTCACAAAAACTGGAATCAATGTATTTTCTAAATTGCTTGTGAAAGCAGCTTGGACCATGAGAGAACAGTTATATTTGTGGCAATTTATATTTCTCCCAATCAACCAGTAAATAAAATTATTGAATTAATTCACGAGAGTTTAATAAAATACACACCACAATACTCTGATGATTTTATGAAGGTTTCACTTCTACCGGGTGTGCACAGCACACATATGTTTTTTTTTTTGTAACAGAACAGGCTTTAGCACAAATGCAATAATGTTAAAGTTAAAGTTAAAGTTTGATTTTTTTTCATTTTTTCATAAAAAAAACTGGAATGATTAATTAATTTGTCAGAAATTATCAGTCCTATCGGAAAGTGATGTATATATGGCTTATGGAGAATTTTATTAGCCTTGATTTGACTTATCTCATTTTAAGATTGTTAAATTGGTTCGTAAGATATACATGATTAAGTGGTAACATTTTTTGTTTTATGCAAATATATCGAAAACGTATCCATAGAAAAAAACCCGATTTTCGGAATCACCGAGCAATTCTACATAGAAATTGGATAGTGGCGTCTGGAGAACAAAAACCAAACTGAAATTTGTGATCCAGTGTATTCAGCCTTATCAAGAGTTTAATTTTCGCCCGGGTAGTTTTGTTTTCGGGCGAAACTCTCGATAAGGCTGACAGCTTCCACTATTGGTACACTGTCGGTTACGGTGGAATTCTTCGAATATGTAACAGCAATAGTGCACTCACGTAGCAATTTCTGCAAATTTTCTACGCAATTCGCTATAAAATTGAGAAATAGAAAGTGCGTATTCGAACTGCGTAAAAATTATGCTCCATTGCTGATTTTCAAATGGAAATCTATGAAATGCTGGAGAAATCGCGCAGTCAACATTTTCATATTGCATGTGATTTTTTCTAGTTCTGAGCAAGCAATGGTCAAACTTTCGTTCCTCGACCGCGTGATACAGGCACAGTAACATAAGTATTCGAAGAGACCATGACTTCCTTTCATAAAAAGTAAAATTTAAATTTAAATTTTATTTTATTTAACAAAAAATTTAGGGTAGCTAACAGGCTTTTATTTTTAAAACATATATCAGCCCAATTCTTAATCACCCTCATTGCGAGAGTCGTGTCGCATGCAAGTCGTTTTTCGATAGTCGAATCGTATAGAAAATCTCACGTCATTGCTTAAAATTTCCACTCGACTAGTGTATTAAAACGGAAAAACTTGGCAGCACTGTATAGTTTTCGACGATTTTCGTCGCTTACTTATTTCAGCACGACAGTAGACAATGCCAATGTTGTCGAGTCGTACAATTTAGCCTAATTTACGACTTACGCAATGAGGCTGAATACTCCCGGGGAGTTTGTTCTCCGGGAATTTGTTTCTCCCGAGAAAGAAATCCTCCAATAATTAACTCCCATTTGCTTATTTACAAAAATTGGAATTTGGAAAAATTTGAAGTCCTAATAAACAATCGTGGTACAAAGCTCAATAAAAATATTAAAAATAAAATGTTAACAAGCCACAATAACATTGACAAATACATAGTTTAGGAAGAGCCTGCCTGAAACTATACAAAAAAGCAAATAAGCAAATGGATGTATAGAATTGACAACAACAACCACGCTGTCGAGTTTAAATAGCGGCAAATCAGCTGCACTTGATAGTAGTTGGTTGAATAAGGAAAATGAATTAACAACAAGAGTTGACATACAGTACATAGCTCAGTGGTTAACGCTTCTGACTTTGAACATCGATTACGTAGGTTCGATCCCTGTTAAAGTCTAGAAAAAAGAAGTCTGATGAGGAGATGTGGTGATCCCCGAAATAGCTGCTATAACTTCAACCGCTTAGACTTTGTTTCTTTTTCAGTTTTTCCTAATAAACAATCATGGTACAAAGCTCAACAAAAATATTAAAAAATAAACAGATTCAATTTTATAGTGCAGAAGGGCTGGTAAATATTGAAAATGTAATTTTAAAGTTTTATCCTTGAAATTTCGCAATATGGGCATTTGCTTCCCATATTTTTATTCTACATTGCATTGAGTTTTTTAATAATTTTTTGAATTAATCATATGTCTGAAATAAGAAAGTCCTTCTAAATAAATCTTACGGCCAGCGAGAAAAATAAAAAAGTAGGTTTCAAACCCACTTATTTATTATTTATTTCATGGTAGGAGAGCTTCTCAAACAATAAAGAAGCAGTTTTTTCGACTCAAGTTGTTGAAAAGTAATGAATATCTAAATCCCGGGACTAATCCCGGGAACCCCGTATTGTGACAATGCCATCCCGAAAATCCCGGGATCGGAGAAAGTCGAAAAATTAACATCCTTAGTGTAAATACATACATATTTATGTAACATCTATTCCTAATAACTATCTTAATGATTACTTATTCTTTGGAGCTTCACAATCACACTGTCAAAGAGCGAATCAACACGATTTTAGAGTCAGTCTTCTCGTGTTAGTGAGGTACCCATTCGCAATGCAAATCGAAGAAGAACTTTTGATGAGCGAAGTACTACTACCGACGAAATTTTTAAAGCTATCGACAAATTTGTACAAAACAATGGTTTGAAATGGAGAAAGTGTGCGGATATTTGCGGTGGTTGGAAAAACGAAAGAGCCATGTCTAGGATGAAGCAAGAGGCAGAAAACGCCACGAGAAGTCATTGTATGATCCCTCGGTATTCCCTGGCGACTAGGAAGATGCCGCCAGTAAATTTAAAACCCGAATTGGATGACGCTCCGAAGATAACAGAGGCCTGCGAAATTAAAATACATCTCTGGTTTTTTAAGCAAAGTAATCAGAAAGACGTATGTAACTTCGAAGTTAACGCTAAGAAAATTGATCGCAGCCGGTTTCAGTAGCAGTTTCCATATAAAGTTCAAAAAAGTAAAATCATTTTTCACTTAAATTGCTTTCGTGAAATTGGCTGTCAAAATTATATTCCTAGTGTTAACGCGCATTACCAGTGTTAACTTGGAAGGTTTGGAAAAGAAACATTGTCGAATAATTTCCCAACATTGACTCTGATAATGGCTTCAGTTGGCACGATCTCCGAGAACAAAATCATGCTGTTGATAGTTTTAAATTATTTTAAATTGATTCGGGTCACAAACGCCTCTTTAGACAGTCGGAAGCTCTTAATAAATCTCTAGACGAATTCCTTAAATATATTTTATATCAAAATATATTCAAAATACTACACTTAAACCCTCTTAAACATTTTCTACTCCTGGCGAGTTTACCAAGCTCTCATCCTTTGACGAATCGGTGAACCAGAACTCCGTTATACTCATTTTTACCACGGTTTTATAAACTCGTTTCTTTTTTATTTCATTCTAATTTGCACAAATTTACATACGATCATTTACGTTCATGTATGCACGATCTCTGATAATTCCAAATGAAAATTCGTTCGATCAGCAATTTCGACCACAGTCGAAGATCAAATGCAACTCATAATAGGGGCCTTACTTTTACATTTCTATGTGACTACACTTGAACCCTCTTAAACATTTTCTACTCCTGGCCAGTTTACCAAGCTCTCATCCTTTGACGAGTCGTTGAACCAGAACTCCGTTGTACTTATTTTTACCACGGTTTTATAAACTCGTTTATTTTTTATTTCATTTTTATTTGCACAAATTTACATGCGATCATTTACGTTCATATATGTACGTTCTCTGATAATACCCAATGAAAATTCCTTCGATCAGCACTTTCGGCCACAGTCGAAGATCAAATGAAACTCATAATAGGGGCCTTACTTTTACATTTCTATGTGAGACTGCATTTTCAACAAATGCTTACATATACAAGTAATTTTTAAGCAAAAAAAAACAAAACCAATTTCAATTCCCATCTAAGAATTTAAGATTATCGTTAATCTATTCATGATCCAATGATCGGATTTAAACCAAATTAGACCACCTGTCAGGTAACAGTTTTCCTTTAAAAAAGAATTATAGTTGTCGGTTAACGTGGTCCAAAGTTATGCGGTAACATACATAGAAAAAAATAATACGAATTCATAACCTTCTTTTTGTGAAGTCGGTTAAAAACAAATACACCAGCAAGCTTTCAGCGTCAAATGATTTCAGGGTAAACTTGTCAAAGCTCCCAATCAGCGTTGCCACAGACAATTTTTTTTCCTACCAAAATTTCCTACCATAACCCACCAAAACCTACCAAACATTTTTTTGAGTTTTAATATTTGTTTTCAATGTCAAATTTTTTAAAAACATAGTTAACATAACATTTAGTAAAACTAAAACACAACTAGATTAATAAAAACAAATTAACTGCGTCTAACGATTAATTTTACTGTACAGACTTATCCATGGGCACATATGTCTCTTTACACATACATACATATCGTCACTAGATACGAATAAAGCCGCGAGCTCAAAAGTTGATAGCGAAAAAAGAGGCGTAAAAAACTTTTGGCGAAGAAAGACTCTTAACATAGGTGACGGCAAAGAAAGCCGCGTTAACCTCTTTGACAGCGAAGAAAGACCCGCGGTCAACTATATTTTCGAGTGCAACAGTATTCCCCAGAACTCCCCAAAGAGTTTTTCTGAGCTCTTTATTCATATCTAGTGACGATAGNCTCATCCTTTGACGAATCGGTGAACCAGAACTCCGTTATACTCATTTTTACCACGGTTTTATAAACTCGTTTCTTTTTTATTTCATTCTAATTTGCACAAATTTACATACGATCATTTACGTTCATGTATGCACGATCTCTGATAATTCCAAATGAAAATTCGTTCGATCAGCAATTTCGACCACAGTCGAAGATCAAATGCAACTCATAATAGGGGCCTTACTTTTACATTTCTATGTGACTACACTTGAACCCTCTTAAACATTTTCTACTCCTGGCCAGTTTACCAAGCTCTCATCCTTTGACGAGTCGTTGAACCAGAACTCCGTTGTACTTATTTTTACCACGGTTTTATAAACTCGTTTATTTTTTATTTCATTTTTATTTGCACAAATTTACATGCGATCATTTACGTTCATATATGTACGTTCTCTGATAATACCCAATGAAAATTCCTTCGATCAGCACTTTCGGCCACAGTCGAAGATCAAATGAAACTCATAATAGGGGCCTTACTTTTACATTTCTATGTGAGACTGCATTTTCAACAAACGCTTACATATACAAGTAATTTTTAAGCAAAAAAAAACAAAACCAATTTCAATTCCCATCTAAGAATTTAAGATTATCGTTAATCTATTCATGATCCAATGATCGGATTTAAACCAAATTAGACCACCTGTCAGGTAACAGTTTTCCTTTAAAAAAGAATTATAGTTGTCGGTTAACGTGGTCCAAAGTTATGCGGTAACATACATAGAAAAAAATAATACGAATTCATAACCTTCTTTTTGTGAAGTCGGTTAAAAACAAATACACCAGCAAGCTTTCAGCGTCAAATGATTTCAGGGTAAACTTGTCAAAGCTCCCAATCAGCGTTGCCACAGACAATTTTTTTTCCTACCAAAATTTCCTACCATAACCCACCAAAACCTACCAAACATTTTTTTGAGTTTTAATATTTGTTTTCAATGTCAAATTTTTTAAAAACATAGTTAACATAACATTTAGTAAAACTAAAACACAACTAGATTAATAAAAACAAATTAACTGCGTCTAACGATTAATTTTACTGTACAGACTTATCCATGGGCACATATGTCTCTTTACACATACATACATATCGTCACTAGATACGAATAAAGCCGCGAGCTCAAAAGTTGATAGCGAAAAAAGAGGCGTAAAAAACTTTTGGCGAAGAAAGACTCTTAACATAGGTGACGGCAAAGAAAGCCGCGTTAACCTCTTTGACAGCGAAGAAAGACCCGCGGTCAACTATATTTTCGAGTGCAACAGTATTCCCCAGAACTCCCCAAAGAGTTTTTCTGAGCTCTTTATTCATATCTAGTGACGATAGTATTATTATTACGTCGAAGATACCCGCGCTGCGACCTAAGAAGATATATTGTACTAAATAAGAATTGTAATCCACTCCAACCTTAGGCTATNGCTTACATATACAAGTAATTTTTAAGCAAAAAAAAACAAAACCAATTTCAATTCCCATCTAAGAATTTAAGATTATCGTTAATCTATTCATGATCCAATGATCGGATTTAAACCAAATTAGACCACCTGTCAGGTAACAGTTTTCCTTTAAAAAAGAATTATAGTTGTCGGTTAACGTGGTCCAAAGTTATGCGGTAACATACATAGAAAAAAATAATACGAATTCATAACCTTCTTTTTGTGAAGTCGGTTAAAAACAAATACACCAGCAAGCTTTCAGCGTCAAATGATTTCAGGGTAAACTTGTCAAAGCTCCCAATCAGCGTTGCCACAGACAATTTTTTTTCCTACCAAAATTTCCTACCATAACCCACCAAAACCTACCAAACATTTTTTTGAGTTTTAATATTTGTTTTCAATGTCAAATTTTTTAAAAACATAGTTAACATAACATTTAGTAAAACTAAAACACAACTAGATTAATAAAAACAAATTAACTGCGTCTAACGATTAATTTTACTGTACAGACTTATCCATGGGCACATATGTCTCTTTACACATACATACATATCGTCACTAGATACGAATAAAGCCGCGAGCTCAAAAGTTGATAGCGAAAAAAGAGGCGTAAAAAACTTTTGGCGAAGAAAGACTCTTAACATAGGTGACGGCAAAGAAAGCCGCGTTAACCTCTTTGACAGCGAAGAAAGACCCGCGGTCAACTATATTTTCGAGTGCAACAGTATTCCCCAGAACTCCCCAAAGAGTTTTTCTGAGCTCTTTATTCATATCTAGTGACGATAGTATTATTATTACGTCGAAGATACCCGCGCTGCGACCTAAGAAGATATATTGTACTAAATAAGAATTGTAATCCACTCCAACCTTAGGCTATTTAAAAAGCTCAGCACTTTGGATGAGGCCATGTTCCAAATTTTAGATGGAGAAGGCAATCGTTCTCCAAGGTGTATCAATCTACGATTCATGCTTCGTAGACAGGCACATAGAATATACTCTGGCGTTTCTTTCACCAGCCGACAAACGCTACAGTCCGTCTCTAGAAAAAGACCCATTTAATTAAAACCGTACGTTAACTTGCAGTGTGCTGTCAGGTAGCCAGTAAGAGTTCTAAGTTTAAGGTGTCTTTTGGAGATCCTGTTGGAAAGAGTTATGCATATCTTTGATTATCTTAATACCTTTGACTTCCGCCAGTAGACAGCAATTTGAGATTATTCCCAGCTAGCTGAGTAGGTCTGCAGCGTATCCTTTAGATGTACCACAGAAAGGCTAGGGACCACGCAAACGCATTTGGGCTTCACGCTTTGCGAGACAGTCAGCCCTTTCATTGCCTTCAAACTCTTCATGCGTGACGCTATTGTGGGCTTGCAGTTGGTTCAAAAGTTTACAAGCCTTGATGCCATTTTAAAAGACTAAGGCCTTTAACGCTGCCTGAATGTCCGACATAATATTTATTCTGGCCACATTTGCCTTCTACGATGACATTCGCGAACACAACTTCGATTGGGAAGACTTCCGCCTGAAATATGGTTGAGTACGAGCCCATTGGCAGACTTTTCTGGAATCTTGGTTCAAGTACGCCATAAATTATATCGCAGATGACAGGTAATATGAAACTACATCGATTTTTCGTCTCTCTTGAAAAATTTCTAAAAATGTTCTTGGCACCTTTTCACCCTTAGGTCACGATATATGGATTGGCAATAATACCGTTTGTACTTAGGAATCAGGTATATTTACATGTTTGTGGCCGCCATTATACGAACGCACTGGTGAAATATTTGTGTAAAAATGGTTGCTAAAATATTTGGAGATATGTACGTACATATTTTCTATTTTTCGCAAATAACTATTACTCATTGTCCCGAAACCTACCAAAATCCAATCAAGCCTACCAAACAGCTCCTCCTGCTGTCATCATTAGGCTTTGAAATTGAATTACTATATCAATATTAGGAATGTCTAAAGCTTTCTCATTATCCACCCACGCCTCTAAAGGATTTACAAAATTCGACGATGATGCTATTCTGTCTAATTGAAGATCGTGTACGTTAGGGATGCCCAAATCAGCACATATGTTTCGCGGGCGACTGCGCGTGCAAAGCTTTGCACAGCGGTGCTGGGCAAGCGCGGAAGCAAAAAGTTATCGGAAGGGGAAAACGAAGTCAACAAAATAGTGAGATTTTATGTGTGACAGTGATGGAAAATGAGTGTACATTATGCCGTTTTCGGCCCTTTCGGAAGCAGCCGGCACCTTCAGCACAATCGATTGATTTTCGGCACTATTTTTGCGTAACTCAATGCAACTAATAAATATTTCTATCGGATCCGCAATTAAAAATATT